GATGAGTCGGTGAAACTCCGACGAAACAGTTTGTCACAGCCCCTCGTTTGTTGTCCTCTTCTCTCTCTCTGCCTACGGTTTACCGGGCAGTTCTGTTTGTGACGATATATACTATATATGTGCTTGTTTTTTTATTTTATTTTTATTTTTGCCGTTTGTTTTGCAAATTGCGCCCTTTTAGTTCATACTACATAGTTATGTGACAATATATATGTCACAGCCCCTCGTTTGTTGTCCTCTTCTCTCTCTCTGCCTATGGTTTACCGGGCAGTTCTGTTTGTGACGATAGATAGATAGATAGATAGATAGATAGATAGATAGATAGATAGATAGATAGATGGATAGATATAGTGCTCGCCAAATGGTCAAGGTAGTCAATTTAGTCTGTCGAAAGAACTCGAGGAAATAATGAGTAGTTTACCTGACTTTTTTTTACTGATAAGGTAGAAAAAATGGCTGTGGTAACAATGTGGTTGATGTTTCAGGTTGCGATCTACTATGCCTTTTTAGGAATGTACACAAAGTGGCTTATGTTTCCTGCCATCCTCGGTTTGACTCTTCAGGTAGTTAGCAGATGGTGAGTTCACGCAATTTTTTTTTTCCCCCCCCCCCCCCCCCCACAAGCAATTCATTATCATTATTTTGCTTGCGTCACTCAGTCAGAGATTCCAGCATATAGCCAGATGTTGTCTTTGATAATCTTTTATGAACAACAAGATAAAGTAAGAATAAAAAACATTATTGCAAAAAAAGAATTAGTAGTAAATAATGGAGGAAGATATCATAACTTTCATTCTAAAAGATCTTCATTCTTTTTCAAGAAAGTTCGATGAATAATAATTCAATAATTACAATACACACCTAGGCTACCAGGCGGGCCGCCCGGGTCACCCTATTTTCCCGGGCGGCCCGGCCGTGCAAGGACTAGGGAAGGTCCCTGCCAAAAAAAAAATAAAAAAAAATCCAAAAAATCCGAAAAAAATTATGTTATGCAGAAAAATAAACTGAACAACTTTTGCCCCAGCATCACATCGAAATTCTTTGCCAAATTTAAAATAAAAATATAAATCATATTTTTTTAAATATATTTTTGATTTTTTTATTTCCTTTTGGCCCGGCCAGGCAAGTGGACCCGGGCCCTCTGGTAGCCTAGATACGCACACATATTCAACAAAAAAAGGAAAGATTGCCTGAGCTATACGCACACTGCATTTTTAGGGGATTGGGGCTACACCGTACGAAGATAGCTGGCCGCACCAGCTGAAAAGGAAAAAATTGTGCCCGCACCGTTCTTTTTTTTTTCTGTCTTTTTTTTTGCGTGCAGCACAATTCGCCTTGTAAACAAGAGGCTCAGAGCAGAGGTGGTGGTGGTGGTCCAAGAACAATTTTATCGACGGAGATTGGGAAGGCCAAACCAGTGAAAAAACACCCCCCCCTAATGTCAAGGGTGCTGCCACTCTGTAGAGGAGCGACGCAGACGTAAGGGCAAAGGCGTGTACGGCGAGTTTGAAACTGAAGCTGAAGGCCGAAAGCAGAAGTCTTGGTGCCTCTCTGTTGAGAAACGTAGGCATTGAGATCTAATGCAGCCCAGATTTGCTCGCTCGCCTGCAATATTTCGGTCCCATGGGGAGAATGTGGTGACCAAATCTTGGCCACAAATGGACATTATGCATCTCAGCATTCAACTTGTGCAAACCTTGACGCTCTCACTGCTTAAACCGCAAGTACACGGCCCCAGCCTTGCAGAAAGGTTTTGTTGCCACAAGCAAAACTCGGAGGCGCCGCGCGGCCAGGCCCGCTGTTGAAAAAAAAAATCGGCGGYCTCCGAAGTGGTGCGGGTTTCATGCTGACACCCGCGGGCCGATATGTGGTGTACTGGTGCTTTAAGATACTGGAGCAATGCCAAGTCAACTTGACACACATTGCACGAGCTCGTTCAGGAGGATTGCTGTCTGATGTAAGCGCTGGCGTCATTACGGTAGCGGCTAGCCCTTGTCAGAGCAGCAGAGATACAGTGTCCTTCGGCGGCCATAGTGAGGATAGCTAAAGGCGGGTGAAGATGCAATAACTGAGAGGCGGAAGAGGCAGCGCCTTATCGAGGTTCTGCTCGGCCTGCAGGAGGAGGAATGTTGTTTTGTGCTGGTGGAGAGAAGACTGTTGCTACCACTACTAGAGTTATGCCGGCGAAAGGGAGAGGGGCTGAGTGTTTTTTCTGTCAGCGGCTGAGTGTTTGTTTGACTTGGTGATGAGACATCATCTAGGGTCGACAGACTCGACACTTTGAAGTCGGAATCAATCCCATTTGATCGATTGCACTTTTAGTCTTGTGAGAGAGTGTGGAGATGGGTGGATGTTTGACATAGCAGATGACATAGCAACAACTTCGGTACTGCCGTTCTTTTTCCCACAAAATACCAGGCTATAGTAACTTGGGTGTATTGGTGGGCAGCTGTAGCGGCTGGGAACCCGGTACAGCATCTCTTGTGTCCCATTACACAGAGGCGACAAGATGCCAGAGACTGGGTCCAGCATCCCTTTGACACAGTTTTCACACCAGCAGCACACTCAAGTGCTGGGGGCCAGCGTCTCTTGGACACAGTCTTCACACCCCAACCAACACACTCTCAAGTGCTTGGGCCCCGCTATGGCCAAGGGAACCTTGGCCAGCGGCATTGATTTTGCCCCCCCCCCCTCTTAATCCACCATTGGGTGCATGGCCCCAACCAAGTTGAGAAGCGGATGAAGCCTCAGTGAAAGTACTTGCTTGGTTCTGGGATCCGATCGGTTTCTGTGAGAGTACTTGCTCATCAGTGAAACCTAAAACGTATTTCTGTGAGAGTACTTGCTCATCAGTGAAACCCTAAACCCTAAACCTAAAACCTAAAACGAAATTGAAACCTACTTATTTGGCCCTAAAAATGTCACCGTTTTGAATTGTCAAGGTTGTGTGCGACGTCTTGAGTCTGAAAAGACTCTGAATGTAAAACCAGCATTTCATATTGTTTAAACGAAATTGAAACCTACTTTTTTTTTTTTTTTTTTTTTTTTTTGAAGTCGTCTTTGCACAGGGGCCATGCTAATGTTCTCTGTACCGTTCTGATTTTAAGAGATGTCCTGGTGGACAACTTGAAACCTACTTAATTGGCCCTAAGCATGTCACCGTCTTAAAATGTTGGACCTCCTTTTGGATGTATCTGGACTTCAGCTAAGTCCAGACGGACCCTTAGGAGCTAAAACGGTGACCATTTTTAGGGCAAAAATAAGTAGGTTTCATTTTCGTTCAACAAAAGAAAAAATGTTCGTTTTAACGAAATGGCTGTTTAACGACGTGACACAAGGAGGAAGGGGAAAATGGAATACATGGTTAACTTTCTGTCAATAGCAACTTGGCAGTACTTTTTAGTGTCTCTGCAAACCGAATTCGAGGAATCAATGAAGATGCATGAACCCTAGTCAATTGTTGAATCCCCTTGTCGTGTTGATGATGCTATCTCTGTGTGCAGGTCAGCGAGTGTAATGATCTCCACTATTTTCTCCTTGTTTATAGTCATATGGGCAGTTGTATTTCTTCAGTTCTGGAAACGGCGGAACAATGAGCTTCTTGCAAAGTGAGTTTTGCCCCTTCTCTCCCTGAGTAGCTTCTGTGTACTGTACCGTCTCTGATTGCCCACCCTTTCTCTCTTCTTCTTCTTCTTCTTCTTCTTCTTCTTCTTCTTCTTCTTCCCTTTTTTCCCCCCCCCTCTTTATGCGTGTCATCCTTGCGCAGGGGCCTTGCTAATCTTCTCTTTATCATTCCAATTTCATCGGCTGTCCTCAATGACCTCCCATCCTTTCACTACCCTCTCTGAAAGCTCATCCCTTATCTTCCCTCTCTGAAAGCTCATCCTTTCTCTATTCTGTCTGAATGCACCATCCTTGCTGTACCCTGTCCGAATGGCTATCCTTTTTAATTGCTGCTCTACGCATAGCCGAAAGAAACAAACAAAAAAAAAATTGCAAGGAAACCTCAGTACAAGGGCAATGAACTGTCGTCGTGAGCAGCTTTGCATATGGCGAACAGGCAATTAGCAGAAATGATAAAGCAATACAAGTATTGACAATGTTGAACTCTCTTGATGAAGAAAAAAAAACCTCTTCTAGTCTCCCGACAGTCAGTACAGCAACAATAATAATTCTCTGCTCTGGTTGGACTTACTACTTCCTGTCTTCCCCTGAACATAACGCATATGCGTTGTATTCGAGTTTTCGAAAAACGAAAAATTGATGATACCCATAGAATGCCTATGCGTTGTATTCGAATATAAGGGCTGTTCGAATAGAACACGTATGCGTTGTATTCTAATAGAAAACAAAACCTACGCGTTGTATCCGTTTACAACAACGCATATGTGTTATGTTCCGGGAAAGACAGTAGCCTATGTATGTGATCACCTACTCAATCTGATACTCTGGCCTACACTATACAAATATGCGATGTCGTGGAGAGTACAATGCTGCTCCCACCGATGCTCGACTGAAGAATGTATCGCACTACTACCCATCTTCCCCCGAACATAACGCATATGCGTTGCAATCGAGATTCCGAAGAAAATCGACGATTCGAATAAAAGGCATGTGCGTCATGGCTGTGCCGGCAACCGGCCCGTTGGACCGGCCCGGATCCAACCGGGCCGGTTGGACCCCCGGTGGTCCAACCGGAATTCCGGTGGTCCAAAACTGGGTCAAAAAAAATAAAATAATTTTTTTTTGGAAACATGGTTGGACTGCGCTCACCGAGATCTCCCCGAATCCGCAAAGAAAACTTTGAACAGAGAAGTT